GACTTGGCTTCACTTGGCATTTTCAATTGGCGTCAGTTAGCACAGAAGAGAAATGACTGGCGTGCTGTTTTGGACTCGGCCAAAATCGCTTAGGCGGTTACAGCGCCAAATAAGAAGAAGAAGATTGTAGACAAAAATGCAACCAGGCGCCACCACCACATGTTTTTCGTGTTTGCAAATTCTTGCTGGCAAAATTTTTTCCAGCAAGAATTTGCAACTTCTCTCCAAGAGAACTGTCACTTTGCTCTCACAATTTTTGAGTGTTGGATAATTTTTTGGTCTGCACGAACGCGATTTGGGCAAAAATCGTGATAATTCGTACAAATTCGTACAAATTTTTTGCTCGACGAACAAACCTAATCTCTTACCTTTCCTCTCCAAACTCTCCCTTCCACTACTCTTAATAAAAGTAAAATCAAGTTGTTTGTGCATATAGTTATAACTTTATTAAATAAAAAATTTTGTAAATGGAAATACATTTCAATACTTCGTAGCCGTTAATATAAGAAATACAAACATATACAAAAATACGTTACTAACATTTGTTATTCTGTTTTATGACTAATAGTGAATATTATTGCACATGTAGGTCAATTAAAGGCACTCCTTCCCTTTTTCTCTCACCTGTTCCACACATTCTTCAATTATCCTCAATACAACCTCTTTTGTCTCCTCTGAATTAAATGGACAGTCAATAGGCGGCACATGTATGAACAATGTACGATTCCTATTTCTATCCAAAGATTTCAAGTATATATAACCACACAAATAATTGCCTACATCATCAGAACTTTTTGCCACTGTCAGTGGTAGCACCGAATCTGCCCCGGTTGTACTTTCTACGGCTTCGTCTGTAGCTGATGGTATACACTCACACGATTCAGCAACAACTTGAACAATTTTGTCTATGTCCAAACCGCAATGCAAAATTTCATCATCTTTAGTATTAGCTTTACAGTTCTTCAAGCAAGCTGCGCCTTTCGGCAGATGTTTCCGAGCATAATCGGGCCTTGTAAATTTATGATTATATGCCAACTTCTCCACATGTATGCAGGTAGCACTGCCATGGACGCCACAATGTATGACAAGCTTTAAAAGCAAGAAAGTTGCTTGAAAGGAATAATCATCTAATTTCAAGCATTTACCTCTGGTTTGCGTGACCATATGTCATCTACAGCTTTGTCCACTGCGCCATACTCTACAGGTACTTCTAATTTGTCCAGCTTATAGTGGTGTCCATGCCAAGTAAGCTCGTCTGGCAGCAGGCGCACAGCTTCCCAACTGGCATTCACATCTTCGTGTCCAACAAAGGGGCCAAAGCCGGTGACGATGATCAATTTTTCTTCTGCTTCCGCTGGTGCTTCAACTGTATTCCCTTGAAGTTGAGCCATTTCTGC